TAATCAAAAGCAGGTAGAACCAGCAGTGGCTACTCTAAGATTGTGAGGTGGACAGATTCTAAACAGATGTGACTTGACTTCTGGTGCACATACTGACATTGTACACGGAAGGGAAGGGCTTACCTTACACACGGAGGAGGAGAAGGGCTGCCATCAGGCCTGTTACTCCCTCCTCCTTCCCTCTCACCCTGCACCTTCTGCCCTGAAGATACTAGCTGGGCATTCATTTCTTTCTTAGTAGGAAGTTAAAAAGCCCAGGCTGTAAAACTGTAAAAAGACGGTTTACAGGGACAGTTTAGCACACCTGGGAATAAAGAGAAGAGTGGCAGACTCTTCACACTGATGAGAGCTCTGACACATACTGGAGCAGTCTTTGAGTGGACTGTGTTATGACCTGTGGTGGGGAAAGAGGGCTGTGCCTCCTGCTGGGGAAGGAGGTCCACTTTGTTGTTGGATGGTACTGCCTCACACTGATCCATTCTGTACCTCGCACTTGATTCTCTGAATTCCACTTAGCTTTTTTCTGTCCCACAAGGGCCAGAAAACTTTGTTTCCTCTGTTGTTGCTGACTTGGAGGACCAGCCTCCCGTCAGCACCAGAGTAAATAAGGAAATCCACGAATGCAGTGATAACTTGGGGAAATTTCCTATCGAAAGGTTAGACTTTTTCTATCTGAGGGGGAAAAAAGAAACACAGACTCTTTCTGATGGTAACTTTCTCTTTACTACTTAAAAACAAAACTCTGCTCTCTCCTCCCAGTGCCTCTTCAGCAGCTTCTCCCTCATCAGCTCCACATCTCTGCACGGTGCGGCTGCCTGTCACCTCTGCCGCCTCACTCTGCTCCTGTCTTCTTTCACAGCCAAACTCTGAACAATTAGAAGTTACATTTTTCAGACCCAACCAAACTCCAGATAACTCACGGAGTTTCTCTTAGGCTAAAAATGTCACATTAACCCATGCACGTATTTCTAAGTTGGTGAGGTTTCCCAGACAGTAAACAATTGGCTGAACCTTGAGGTTGGGGAGTGCAGAAAGGTCCATAGCTGAAGGAAGTTATATCTAAAGTTGCTTCAAGCTCTGGCCTTGAGTCAGTAAAACAACACCTGGGAAAATGACCTCATGTATTTATCTCTAGGGGCAACCAGCCTGCTTTTAATCTGCTTTGAAATCTAAGGTAGCTGTCTGTGTAAAAGGCTGTCATTGTGACTGAGAATCCCATGTCAGACTGAGTAATGTAAAGTATAGGCAGAAATCACCTTCCTGACCATCCACAGCTACCTTTGTACCCAGTAAATATAAAACACACCACCAAAGGGCTGTGGAAAGAACCCCACAGCTGTTGTATTAGGAGGCATAGCAGTGGCGGCACCCGAGAAAGTTACAAAAACAACCTGTCATCTACTCAATAACCCTTTGGCTCTGCCTTTGGCTCTGACTGGTTAAACAAACACAAGTCGTCACTGCTGTACCATCCCATGGCCCTGTGCACTCTGTGGTGAGATTTTGAATTCTTGACATTGGTTACTCTGTTGATCTCCTTAAGTCTCTTTTCAAGGGAAATATTTTTAATACAGTACTTTTTTAATTCTTTGGGAATTATATACCATGTATTTACATATGAATATATATTAAGCATGAATATGATCATATTCAGCTTCCCCACTCCTCCCCCAACCCCTCCCTGATTCACTTTCTACCTTTTCCCAGCTTTGTGTACTCTTTTTGTTTTTTTTTAAATAATGTATGAGTCCAGTTTTAGGGGGGGCCACACCTTTGAAAGAAAGCTGTCCCCCTCCCCCAGAAATCATAGCTGTCAGCAGCCCCTCCATGAAGAATAGGAGCATGAGCACCTCCCGCTCTGTTTGAATGCTGACTGGCTTAATCCTTTTCAGGCAACCACAGCTACTTTGAGTTCATGAGCACAGCAGACCTGTCCTGTCCAGACCCTAATTCCTTTATATTGATTATCGAAGATCAGCTCCAGTTCCTTGCTACTCTTGTAACTCAATGTGACAATCAGGCCAGGTGGTGGTGGTGCACGCCTTTAATCCCAGCACTCAGCAGGCAGAGGCAGGCAGATCTTTGAGTTCAAGGCCAGCCTGCTCTACAAGAGAGCNGGGGGGGGGGTTGGAAGGAAAGTTACAATCAGAGATTTCAAGGGTAGCAGGGACTATGGAAGTAACACAGTGTTCTCCTCCTGTCTCTATTTTAATGTCTGTGGTCCTTACGATCAGTAAACATTTAACCAGCAGCAAGGTTACAAATGGTATCAAGCCCAGAATGGTCAGCAATCTCTATCAAACCTGTGTGCTATGTTGGGAAAGTAACATTTCCACTACACAGCTTTTGTTAGCACAGTACCTTGTGACAGATAGGCACTCTATTTTGTGTACTGCAGTTTCAACCGCAAATGTCTGGGCTGGGTCTCCTGTACTTTCTAAAATAGAAAGTCTGTAATAGGATGAAAGTTGCAGCCAATGGGAGGTTAGGGAGAAGGGGCCTTTAAATTAACTGGCTTCTGTGCTGTGGAGGGGCATAGTGTATATAATCCACATCCTCAGTAGTCCTCTCCGATCTCTGGCCTTCACCATCCATGACAATTTGCAATTGGGTAATGTTCCCAGCCCCCACGCCGTACTCTCTCCTGTCTAAATGAGTTGTTTCAATAAAGAAAATGCTGTGCAGTGCTGACTCCAGTCTGCGGCACCTCGGCAGTGCTGTTATTGCTGCTGGTTATACTCTAGAGTCTCCATAAGAGCATGCACTTCAGGTAAAAGAGATGCTAAGTGGTGGTCTGGTCAGACTGAGTACTCCTTCTCTCCCCACTGCCATGTGTGGTTAAACACTTCACATCCTTGTACTCATATTCCCCATCACCCCAAAAAGGCTAAAAAAGAAGAAAAGCACTTGAGAGAGAATGAAGCAACTTGCCCAAAGCTAAAGAACAGAGGCTTTTGTTCTCTCAGGATGGAGAAATTGTGTGCTCTCTGTCAGTGTTGTCAGCACTCGGGCCTTCACCTGAAATCAACTCATGTTTCTAAGATGAACATGTTTTCCCCATGTAAGCAGAAACTGGTGCGCCACATTAGACTGAGCTCAACTGTAAGGTCTTTTGTGTACCGAGGCCTGTTGGCTTCCTGTGCATCAGACTCACATTCAGCGACAGCTTGACCACGTCTTGTCATTCCATTACGGAGAAATGCTTTACAAGAGAAGACAGGCCACTGAAAAAGGCACTTGCTAATACTAAAGCCTTTCCTGCTTGACGGTTTGCTCAAAGATTGTTCACTGACTTCACCAAGAGAAACTGCTGGATAGATTGGAGGGGAAAGCTGCGTGCTTACCTCACACCACACTGGCGTCCTGTTGGGCATGCCCTCATTTGATGCCATGATGCCTTCATAGGGAATTCTCTCCATCTGGTGCCTACCACCCACATTTTATAAACTGTAGAACATTTTTCTCCTGCCAATATCTGCGATTATAAATGTCAGCATTCCAAGAACCCTACAGATATTCTGGACAATAAAGGTTTTTTTCTGGCCCTAAGATATACAAGATGAGGTAGGGAAGTTTTTGTTTTTCTTACCTGCCTAAAGAGTAAAGTGAGGTGGCACAGTTAGATGTCCTTTCAGAATGGCACCTTAGATCATCCTCAGGTTTCTGCTCTGTATTAAATGGCAGGAAACAGTTCTGGACCCTAGGAGGGAACTTAGCTAGTGCTTCCCAGTTCTAAGTATCTTTTCACTCTCCAAAGCAGATTTTTATCTGCAACTCTTAGTGCCCTTTCTTAAATAACTTGGTCCTCAAATCAGATTACCTTTGTTTGAAGCCCATTTGTTAGCCTGAGACCCTGAGTGGCTCACCGAGCTGTTTCTCACAGATAGTAATAGTTCTATCTCAGGAGATGGTAGGCATAACCAGACAAGCCATAGTATAAAGGGTTTGTTACTACCGTTCTGCACAGGATAAGTGTGTGTTCAGGAAATGGACTGACTTCTCTTTGCTTTCTCAAGAGTTTTCTCTTTCAGATTCATACATAGTTTCAGGGGCCTTAAAGAATGTTTTTGGGTTTTAATTACTTGGACCTGTATGTGTCTGTCCACTTTCACTGTGTTGCAGCACCTGTCTCCTATCTAGGATACACCAAATGCTTTCAATCAGCACCAGATAGTGAATTTCCTGGACAGGAAGCCCCTTCACTCACTGTCACGGTCTTCTGTTTCTTACCCTCTTATAAATATACCATTCTTAATTTGGGCTTAAATATAACACAAAAATGAGTGCACGCTGTGGTCCGCTGACTCTTGTTCTCTTTTTCCTGTGTTGTAACATGATATAGCCTTGAATCCTGAGCTCATTCTGCATCGTCATTTGGGCCAAAAGATGGCGGTTAGAGAGTGATGGTTCTGCATTTTAAGAAGTGTCATCTTCTTTCCCGATTCCAAATCATCATCTGACGTTTCACCCAAGACAGGGTGGAGTTAGTGAGACAGTCTATTCATGCAGCTTCATGAATGCACTGACAACTTCAGTCTTGTCTGGAGCTTCAGATCTTCCTTCATTTTAAGTTTCTGGGACGTTAACCCTGCTAGGGCCCATGTCTGGAGCAGTCATGCTTTATAAAAATAGTGTCCATTTACATATGAATGAATGTTAGTTAGCCTGACACTTTTTCACAGTGCAAAACAGAAATGCAGGCATGTTCTTTGTGAGATGACAGTATGAAATCGTGAGCTGATATTTAAATTTACAGCTAACACTGACATGGTGCTTATAAACCCTAATTGAGTTTGCTGTCCCTTGGCCTGATTCTCTGTGGGAAGATGCCCTGGGGAGGTCCCTTTAGACAAACTGCTGGAGTAAGCTGTGTCTGTGAGGTCCTCTCTTACGATGCCCACAGGCTCCCTGTGCATGCATAGTCCTTGTAGAAGAGCCTTTCTCAGGGAGTTTCTTATGGGCTGCAGTTTCGCTGATGCAATGGCTTCATTTATCCCTAGGCGAGCCCCAGTGATGGAAGTGATGGCATTTTTGGTGAAAAGAAGGATGACAGCCAGGCAGGTGAGACTGTGTCCTGCAGGCAAAGAAAAGTAAGGTCTCAGTTTATAGTTATTGTAGAATTTCTATGAAGTCAATGTTATCTTTAAGGAGACTTCCAAGTAAGTTGACCTGTATTAAGCTTCCCTAGAGTGACACATGTCTCTTGACTTCAAAATGCAAAAGTTAAACAAGTGGTGTTTTTAGGATAGAATCTGGATAGTAAAGAAGGGACTGTAATTTCATTGATGTGGGCTGTTCTGTATCTGAGTTCAGACTTGGCTGGGGCTTTGGTAGTTGGAAAGGTCAGCTACATAGAAGCCATGACTCTATGTGAAGAAGACACAGATTTTTTTGCTCTTTTCTTTCTGTAGAGCAACTCTGCCATTCAGAGAGAGGTATATATTTGAGTGAGAACAGCATTGACCACAATATAAAGCTGTTTCTAAAGCAAAATTGCTGCCTTTCCCACTAGCCTCACTCCTGGTTAATGTTAAAGCAGCTGCTTTAAAGTCACTAAAGCATGTTGTCTTTGTATTTAAACAAACGAAGCAAAGTCCCTCTTGTATTTGCATTTGTAAATACTAATATCCTCACTGATGTTTGAAGCCCAGGATGGCTCCAACCCAGACAAATCACCCTGGCCAGTTTCATCTGCTCTCACTGCTCGACTCCGGCGTCTGGTCACTATTTACCAGCGCTGCAATCGCAAAGAGCTCTGCCGACCTGAAATTCTAGGCCCAGGTAATCAAGGATACTGGGTTCAGGAGGACATGTTCAGGAGAACTTCAGAAATGGACCTCATCAACAAGGAAGCCCAAAAAAGGTAACAGCCAAAGCAAGAAAGCATGCTAAACTAATTGGTCACGGGGTAAAGATGACAAGGGAAAGGCTTATAGGTGGAGGTTCGTGGGTTAGTTCCCATGTGATAGTTAGATTGTCTTCAGAATTTCTTCCAGTGGTGAGTGGGAGGCTAATAGATCTAGAACCCTCTGTGCACAATGCCTAATCATAAGACTTTCTAACTTCATATTCCTCCCGAAATCAGACCCCTTTTTTCCCCTTGGTTTTCCAAGACAGGGTTTCTCTGTAGCTTTGGAGCCTGTCCTGGAAGTTGCTCTGTACCCACAGAGATCTGCCCACCTCTGCGTCTGACTCCCAAGTGCTAGGATTAAAGGTGTGTGCCACCACCGCCTGGCTCAGACCCTAGTTCTTGAAAATGCAACTTTAAAACATCACACTGATATAGGTCATACCATTTCAAATTCTCTGATTTTTATAGCGAAAGAAATAGTTTGTTGAAGCTGTCTTACTATAATCTTGTTTTTAGTCAAGATTGTAAGATCAATAAATACATATAAAATACAAGGCCAAAAAGAAGGTACTTATTACTTGTAGTCACTAGACTTGAGAGTTAAGCTACAAAGGCTGCCATAGGCCAGTGCAGGCTAGGAATGAACACAACGGAGCTGCAGTTCTCAGTCTTTATATCCTTTTTCTTCTGGTGCAGCACCCAGAAAATTAAATGATAACAAATTTAATTACTTCTCCGTACTCCCTCTGAGGTCATGAGATTGGGAAGTCCGCCTGGCGCAGCTGCAGAGCACCTTCCTTTTTCTCACTCCCCGCTGACCTCTCATCCCACCCTCTGTTCCCATATAAGGCAGAGCACCATACCCAAGAACCTATCATAAAGACTGATGACAGGAGCTTACCTGCCCTCCGAGTCACTGTCTGAATCCTGTGAGGACCTCTGTGCCCCAGAGAAAGTGACTGACTAAGGCCGCCTGCCCAATAATAGTAGGGAGCAAGCTAAAGGGAAGCGGAAAGCAGGAACACTGGCCTTCTCAGTCCCAGTGCCCTGTGTGAGGTAGAGAGGTCGACTGAGATGGGGCCAGAGTCTGTTCTGTGTTGCCATGAGGGAAAGAGTAAAAGACAAAGTAAGTACCTTAGTATCTTGAGTCCTTATCTCCCTACAAGTGAAAGTTTAACTAGAAAAGTCCTTAAGTTGATGACCAAAAGATAGCAAAGAGATACTTGGCTTTGGTATAGAGTGATCAACACCAGAAGAGCTGAAGATGTGAACGCAGTTCCCTCTTTGAGAGTGGGATGTAAGGCTTTCCACCCAACATAGCTTAAAGGTAACTAGTAAAATACACAAGGCAGTTCACCTGTGCTTTGGATTTTACAGGCTTCTACAGCATGTTCTTAAATAATTGTTGACGTTCTTAATAAAAGAATAAGCCAAGCATTGTAATATAGACCCATAACCCCCACACCCAGAAAAAGGAAAGCAGGCAGATCTTGAATTCAGGACCAACTTCCATGGAAAAAACCCTGTGTGTAAAGGTAGAAAAAACAGTTCACTTTTCTTCTGATTAATTTTCAGGTGGACTAGAAGAGAACAAGCCGACTTCTATAGAACAGTGTCTTCCTTTGGCGTTGTGTATGACCAAGAAAAGAAAGCCTTTGACTGGACACAGTTCCGCATCATTTCCCGTTTGGACAAGAAGTCAGACGAGAGCCTGGAGCACTACTTTTATAGTTTTGTAGCCATGTGCCGGAATGTGTGTCGTCTTCCCACATGGAAAGATGATGGTGAGAAAACTCTTGTCACTGTGGAGACAAATGTTAGGGTTCAAATTGCAGAATTACTCTGGCTGAACTACAAAACTGGAATCTGAAGAATTCTGATAAAGATGAGTGGGTTGTCAGAGGTCTGATCTTCTAATTCAGATCTCTGAATCCCCAAATGGTGTAACTTCTGTGAAAATTGAATTTCAATTAAAACTTCACAGAAATACTAAGAGATTGACATTAACTATGCTATCCAAAGTATAGGGTTTAGTCTTTTAGATCAAGATCAAAGGGCTGGAGAGATGGCTCAGTGATTAAGAGCACTTATTGTGGCCAGGCGGTGGTGGTGCACACCTTTAATCTCAGCATTCAGGAGGCAGAGGCAGGCAGATCTCTGTGACTTTGAAGCCAGCCTGATCTACAAGAGCTAGTTCCAGGACAGACCCCAAAGTTACAGAGGAACCCTGTCTCAAAAAAAAAAAAAAAAAAAGTAAATAAATAAAAAAGCACTTACTGCTCTTGTAGAGGACCCGATTTAAGTTCACAGTACCCGCATAGTAGCTAGTAGCTCACAAGCATCTGTAGCTCCAGTTGCAGGGGATCTAACACCTTCTTCAGATTCTTCAGACCTCTGATGGCACCAAGCATGCATGTGTACACTTACATATATTCAAAATGCCCATGTACATAAAATAAATAAATCTTATCTTTAAATGAGACATTAGGAACTCTTTATACTATCTTTGAATGAGACATTAGGAACTTTAAGTAATTTTCTATATATTGGCTCAGATAAGATAAATGACTGTCATTTAAACATCTGCTCCAATAGGCAACCCTTCTTTTTTTTTGTTTGTTTGTTTTGTTTTGTTTTGTTTTTCCCCGAGACAGGGTTTCTCTGTAGCTTTGGAGCCTGTCCTAGAACTCCCTTTGTAGACCAGGCTGGCCTCGAACTCACAGAGATCCACCTGCCTCTGCCTCCTGAATGCTGAGATTAAAGGTGTGCACCACCACCGCCCGGCTTAGGCAACCCTTCTGATGTTTCTCCCTGGTTGAAGTTTCACACATTTTCCCTCCAGTCTCTTCAGCCTGAGGTGTCCTGGGCCATATTGTCACATGTTAGGAAAGCAGAGACGAGCACTGAACCTCTGCTTGGTTTCAAGTCAAGGAGCTAATTTAGATCTTGTAGTCATCTCAGTGAGACCTGGATTTGAACTCTGCTTTGCTACCTTAAGCAAAATGACTTTTCTGAGCACAGGCTCATTGTCCTTAAAAGAGAAGTGATCAGGATTTTTTTTTTTATTTTTTTGAGAACTGGAGAACAAATTGTGAACTTAGTGAGAGCTCATAGTATTGGCTTATAAGTGGGAACTGTTGTTTGCCTGTGCCCATTTGTCTTCGGTTTCCAGTTTTAGTAGGTGCTCACACCTAAAATGCCATACTGAGGGTGCAGAGAGTATTTATAGCAGCCTAAGGTAGTAAGTTCTGTGTATCTTTCTCTCCAGGTTCCTCTGATGCCAGCATCTATGTTGAACCCATCACTGAGGAGCGGGCAGCAAAAACTCTGTACCGCATTGAACTGCTGAGGAAAGTCCGTGAGCAAGTGCTCAGGTGTCCACAGCTGCATGAGCGCCTCCAGCTTTGCAGGCCCAGCCTCTACCTCCCAGTCTGGTGGGAGTGTGGGAAACATGATCGAGACCTGCTCATCGGCACTGCCAAACATGGGCTCAACCGCACTGACTATTACATCATGAACGACCCCCAGTTATCCTTCCTAGATGCCTACAGAAACTATGCCCAACACAAAAGAACTGACACACAGGCACCTGGAAGTCTCTGTTGCCTTTACCAGAACAATTCTAAACTATATGAATCTCTTACTTATTCCCAAATGAGGAGGACTTCAGAGTCCCTGGAAAGTGAGCCAGAGAATCTGGTGAAAATGGAAAACAGAGATGATCATCTCTGTCTGCCTGAGGGCAGCTTATCTGACATAACTTGTGAAAACTTTATTTCCAAAGTTCAGGAGGTCATTTCTATTGACCATGACGAAAGCTTGCTGCCCGAGTCCTTGGAGAGCATGATGTATGGTAAGACAGGACTCAGCCGAGAGCCACTCTCTTTTCAGGAAACCCCAAGTACCAACACACAGTCCAGGAAAGACACTGTCACCGTCTCAGCCAGCAGAGATGAGAGCTGCCAGCCTGCTGGCATTGAGGCAGAAATCGCTTCAAACTCTCTAATGAGCAGCTTAGAAGCAGGAGTAGCTAAAATGAACATTAAAAATGGAAAACATTTGTTGATCTCTATCTCAAAAGAAGGGGAACCCTGCTGCAGTGAGACAGGACAGAGACCTGAAGGCACGGGCCACCTAGAGGCCAAATGCTTATCCCCTACCTTAGATACAGGACACGAAAGTGGGTTTGTAGATCTGTGCAGCCTTAGCGTGTGCGACTCCAGAAGAAAAATGTCATCAGATCAGCAGTTAATTGATTTATTAGAAAACAAGAGTCTAGAAAGTAAGTTGATTTTGAGTCAGAACCAGAGTGATGAGGAAGAGGAAGAAAATGAGGATGAAACTTTAGCCATAGTAGCAAGCACCACAGAAAAGCCAGAGGGCTTGCATTTCACCAGGCCCAGTGCAAACATCCCAAGGGGAAAGAACCTCTGTTTCCACCAGGATGAAGCCAAGAAAGGAAGCCTGGAGGTGGTAAGCCAGACTCCTGGACCACAGAGGGCCTTTCCTCCCTCAGCCAGTCAGTGCCACTGCAAACACATGGAAAGGTGGGCACATGGCCTGGGGAGAGAGGAGTCTGAAGAAGAGAAACTCAAGGCTTATCAACCAGACCTGTACAGAAGCAAAGCCAGTAATACTACAGTGGAAGGTGAGCCTGCCATTATTCCAACAGAGCCATTTAAACTGAAGCATGAGCTTTTAAAAGAACCCTGGAAAGAAAGTGCAGAGGGGGGAAAGAGTTTCTCCATGTATGTTCCTGAGGGAATTGAGCCCAAACCAGAAGACATGGATTTTGAGAATAAAGATGATTATGAGAAAGATGGAACCTGCCACAGTCAAGGTACAGTATACAGAATTGTATACACATGTGATGGGAAGAGGGGTGCTGGGGAAGCCATGGTTGCTAGTTTTCACTCCTAAAATGGACCTACCTACCCACACTGCATGGGTGAAACCACAAGGTACAGGTCTTGATATAGAGATTCAGCAGAGCAGTTCAGCTTGGTCACTTCAGAGAACTGGGGGTGACTATATACAGTCATAGTGCCTCTACTGCATCAACCGTATGGTGTAGCAGGGACTGTGTATGTGTATGTGTGAGTGTGCAGAAGATGCAAACTGGCACCCAGGGAAATGCTTTGTTCCTGCACTAGATGTATTGAACTAGCTGAAATAGAGCAGCTTTGGGACCTCAGAGACCTGCAACTAATACAGGTGCCATTAATTTGCAGGAACTCCAAAAATACAAGTCAAGTTGGCCTTTGTTGAGGTGAGCATAGAAAGCAGTTGTTCGTGTCATCGTCAAAACCCTGTGCTTTATGTCAGGGCATTTGTGTTAGATTTCTTTTAGAACTGAACACGAATAAAAATAGCAGTTATAAACAACTGAAAGCATGGGTTTGATCTTTTAAAATAGGGAAATCTTAAATGGGGACTCAAGTTAGAAGGAATTGCAGGCCTGATGTGGTGACACACACCTTTCATCTGACACTCAGGGGGCAGAGGCAGGTGGATCTCTTGAGTTCAGAACCAGCCAGAGTATGCAGTGAGACCCTGTCTCAAAAAGGAATTTCAAAAGTTAAAAATTATGGGTGACTGAAATTTTTTATGCTTTGTGGGAACATACATACAGTGATGAGGGGCTCTGATGAACAACAGCAGTAGTGTTTACTTCCTTAGGTTCAAGAGGGCATAAGAGGGTGAGTGAAGGAGGTCATTTATTATTGCCATTGTCTGGTACTGAGTGTGGTGTTCCAGGAGTGAGACAAGCGTGACTCTATTAGAGAAGAAAAGACTGACCATCTTGGGTTATGTAGCTTCTTTTTGTTTTTTAATTTTTATTTATGTATGTGTATTTGGTGTATGTGTGTGTACACATATGTGCCTTCTACCTGCCACTGAAGGTGTATGTGCAGGTGCACTCACCTGTGAAATCGTGTTTGGAGGCCGCAGTTGATCACTCGCCATCTTATTTTTTGAGACAGGGTCTCTCACTGAATCTGGAGCTCACCTTTCATTTAGATCCCAGTGAGCCCCTGGGATTAGCCTATCTCCTCAGATTTCCCAGCATTGGTATTAGACCACCATGCCCAGCTTTTATGTGGAGTCAGGTCTGAGAATCCAAATTCAGGTTCTGATGCTTTCATAGTAATTTTGCACAGTAGTTTGCCCCACTGAGCCATCTCCTTAACCCATATAGCCATTTTTTTTAAACTCCTATCTTAAAGTTTTTGTCATTGTAATTAGTAACTAATTGAACCCAAATTAAAATTTATATAGTCACTACAGTAAAGACTTGGAAACTGAAAATTACCTGATGGACTTGTGGTAAATAAGGCCAGGAGGACCTGTCTGTGACCATGCCCCAGGCTTCCTTTTTACCCAGGCCAACAAAGATCGTGTCGTGCATCAAATTAGATTCATAACATTTTTTGGACCCTGTTGTGGTGAGTGAATGAATGAATGAATGAATGAATGAATGAATGGATGGATCAAAAAGATGAGGTATTGAAAATTGAGACAGATGAGCACAGGGTGAGTGTGAGTTAGAGGACAGAGACTCCTCCTTTCTTCTGGGGTCAGTGAGGCTGGCAGCTTTGTGATAATTGGATAAGCACCGTGCAGTGCAGACCCTGGAAGGCACTGCCTACAGAGGTGCGGAAGAGGTAGTGCAGGCGAGTGAGCCCACTAGCCCACTCTGGAAACTAGAAACCCTGCCGTTCTGAAAGAGCAGTAGCTTACCTGTGCTCCTTTAGGGTCTGCCCTTGCTTCAAACCTTTCAGTGATGCTTCTGTTGACTCCAGAGCTAAATCCAGTTTTCTGTCAACTCAGGGTAACTTAGGTGGTTCCTGCCTCCAGCTTCATGCTTATCCTTACTCCTGGCTGTCTTGGTTCCCTAGCATGCCTTTCCCTCCCCTCACCTGCTTCCTCACCTGCACACCGATTCCCTGTGTATTAACCTACTTAGGATAAGCCTTTCTTGTTGTTCCCCATCATCATATCATGTTTTCTTCTCTTTGGATGTTTTACTCTTGGGGTTGGGGTCTCATTGTATAGCCTCAAAGTCCCAGTCTTCTTATTTGGCCTCTGGAATATTGAGATTACTCACATGAGCCACCATGTTCTGTATGTTTGTACGTATGTACAGCACTGCCACACTCTGGCTGTTCCTCCATAGTTGGTTGTTTGCTATCTCCCCTGTGAGGCAGGGAGAACACTGAGAGCTCAGATCTGCCAGTCCTAGCAAAGCTGCTCCTAGGAAGGAGCTGCTCTGGCTCCTGGGAGGCTCATTTCACAGTCAGAAGTAAAACTCACACATGCCTTGTCTGGAAAAGAGGTCCAAGTCTCCACCCTGGACATCTCGCTGCCCTCTGCTCATGCTCTCTCATTGCTAAGTAGTAGGTCTTTGACATTCCAGGCCACACTTAACAATTAACTTTGACCTTGCCTGGCATGATGGCACACACTTGTAATCCAAGCACTGGGGAAACAGAGGTAGGTAGATCTGTTTGAGTTCAAAACCAATTCAACAGTGAGTTCCAGGCCAACCAGGGCTATGTATTGAGATCTTGTCTCAAAATAGCAAAAATCTTTTTCCTTTACTTATGCTAACAGTAAAGCTCCTGGCTCATTTGCCTTATTTTGTATATGAAACTTGGAGCTTTGTTGGAAAGTCCATGACTTCATCTCTCTTGGTCTATCACATTTCATACCTCTTAGACGATCCTTTCAAACTGTCAAAGTATTACAGTGTTTGGTGTCTTCTTGTCCACTAAACCAGCATGTTTAGGTAGTCTTAGATGACAGCTTGCCTCAGAGGCCCCAAGCAGGATTTGCCTCTATGGTTTTAACAATTTAGGTCTCTTGAAGATAGAAAACATGACAATTTGTAGTTTACTTAAAGTAAGCTAGCACTGAGTGGACTAATTGAAAACAGAAGAGACAGATTTAAATGTCCAGACCCTCACATCACTAGCATTTCCCCAAATATCTAGTTGTTCGTTTGTTTGTTTTTTAACCTGTCTTTCCAGACTACCCAGGAAAATACTCTGAGGAAGAGAGTAAGAGTTCGACATCAGGCATTGCAGGAGACCTTGGGGAAGAGGCACAGGAAGTACGGGCTCCCACCATTGCTCAGCTGCTGCAGGAGAAAACCTTGTATTCCTTCTCAGAATGGCCAAAGGTATCTTCCAGGGCTTGCATCCTCCTCTCAGGGCGTTCCCAGCTTTCATTCCTTTGCATTAAACTTTATAAAATTCATCTATCAGACAAACTTAGCTATGTACATTTGAACATTAAAGATGATGCGCTAAGGAAAAGATTATATTCACCAGACTAATTAAACCATAAGAGGGAAGGAATCTTCAGTCATAGCACTTTTTTACTCTTTATTTTCTAGACCTTGACATTTATTTATAGGTTATGTAGTGAATGCATCTGAGAACTCATCTCTGGTCAGCTCTTTATGAAAAACTTGACCTTGCTCTCAGGGACTTTGCAGAATTGGATAACTTGAAACTTATTCCTCAGGGCTGCTATTTTTTTCCCCCAGGACCGTGTGATAATTAACCGCTTAGATAATATTTGCCATGTGGTATTAAAGGGGAAGTGGCCCTCCAGCCAACAGTATGAGCCGTCAGGTGCACTGCCCACGCCAATTTTAAACAGCAGTGCAGGTTCTCGAAACAGCCTCTCAGAGCCAGAAGCAGCAGAACATGGCTTCAGCAGTGGTGCAGCATTGGCAGCCCAGATCCAGAAGGTGAGGTTACAGCTGATGGCGGACTACCAAAGAACGGTAGCCACACCCACTTTCCATTAAGTCGTTTACTCAACAAGTATTTAGGAGTTTTGGTTTGGGTTTTCAGTCAGGTAGCTAGTGTTAATTTGGACTCTGCACCTTATTCTGTAGATTGTGACGAGCTATTAAAAGCTTTGGTACAAAGAAAAATGAAATAAAAGCAGAGCTTTGTACCTAAAGTAGAGCCTACAGGTTGTCGGGGGAAGCAAAGAAAGAAGAGTAGCATACCAAGTAAGGATGCTGCAAAGAAAAAGTTCTAGGCTGCAGGTTAGAGGATGAAAAGGTGTCTTCCCTTAGAGGCCAGAGGATGGCAGCAATAGATATCAATAATGAAATCAAGGCAGAAAGGGGTAAGTATATGGAGGGAAGGTGAGTGACTTAGGGGGTGTTAGCACACGCCGAGTCTGTTTGACTGCATCTTAGACTCGGGTAGGGACCTTGAAAAACTGCTGGCTCTGGTTTACCTGGTCTGGTGCAGCTTGGATATTGAGTTGCTTTTGCTTTAACTTCCCAGATGGTTCTGATATGCAACTAAGTCTGAGAATCACTGGGTTTAAGCTCGCGACCACAGTACAGTCCAAAGCCTGTTAAAAGTGTAGATTCACCAAAGTAGACTCTAGATTTAATAGCCGTATGGTGGTTTAGCACTAATGTTTGAGGAGCCTTGAGGTCACAGAGAAGATAACTAGAAGTAATACAAGTCCTGAGGAAGTGAGGCCTGGAGAAGAAACTGGTGTTTGGTCACAGAAGTTACATTCAAACTTTTTGCCGTGTGTGTTCACAGGAGAGCTTCTTAGCCCCAGTACTCACAAAAGATGAACAAAAGCACAGACGTCCCTATGAGTTTGAGGTGGAAAGGGATGCCAAAGCTCGGAGCCTAGAACAATACTCTGCCACCCATGGGCGTCCCCCCATTGTCCTCAATGGCTGGCATGGGGAGTCAGCTATAGACCTCTCCTGCTCATCAGAGGGGTCCCCAGGAGCCACATCCCCTTTCCCAGTGAACACCAGCACCCCTAAGATTGGGGCTATCGGTTCACTTCAAGGAGCCCTAGGTATGGACTTGTCTGGAATTCTGCAAGCTGGCCTAATCCACCCAGTAACTGGACAGATCGTCAATGGAAGCCTCAGGAGAGATGATGCTGCCATGAGAAGGCGGAGAGGGAGGAGAAAACATATTGAAGGAGGGATGGACCTCATCTTTTTGAAGGAGCAAACACTTCAGGCTGGAATTCTGGTAGGTGTATGAGTCCATTAGGTAAAAACCATTGTACATAGAGAAACAAATTTATTCTTCAGATACCAACTGTTTTAATTACAGATCTTTTACACCTACTTAAGTTGTCCTTGTTTTCTATCATTATGAAATGCCTTCCATCTTTTCTAGAATAGGTAATACTAACCACCCATTGGTGGCCCTTAATATGCATGCAGCCTGGAAAAGTGAACCAAAGGGTCTTATTTCAAATAGAAGCAAACCCAAATCTTCCGGTGTTTCAAAAAAGAGTCATTGGCAAGCAGTTGAATAGCAAGGCCAGGTGACAGGCAGCATTCCCTCAGCATAGTGAGACTCTCCAGGAGCTGAAATGTGGGACATGGAAGGTTGATTCTGGCCTTGGTATCTGGCACTGATATGGGGCACACCACTGAACTCTGCTGTCTCTAAATCATCTATAGACAGCCTGTGTGAAGATACCTATAGATCATAGAGAAGCAGTGCATTCTAAACTCAGAGAAGAGCATTGTAAACCATTGAGGAGGCTGATCCTTTTTTAATCTTGAGTCCTAAAAGTAGATAATCATATTTCATAATTTCAATAGAATTATATTTACTGAGTGTGTAATGTGTTTGGAATCTTTCATAATTGAACTCTCACAACAGCTCTAAAAAAATGACTACCTGAAGCGTAAAAGCTTTTAAAAAGGAGCCCTTGAGTGACGGCAGGAAATTAGAGGGCCTTGTTTTCTACATACTGAGAACATCAATGGTGAACTGTGTCATTTGAATTGTGTCCTCCTCTCAGATTTTGTATATAATTTGAGAGGTAGAAGGGGCATATCTTTTTCCCTGTCTAGTCCTACACAATAATTTTACTATTTGTTTTGTGTTTTCATTTTAATAGTCTGATATTTAACATATATCTTAACACACACACCCCTTTTTTTAAGGTGGGCAGAGGTGGTGGTATCTCAGTATTGCTCAGACTAGTCTCAGATTGTGGGCTCGCTTGACCCTCCTACCTCAGCCACCAGGATCAGTAGGACACTCCAATCTACCTGTTCAGATTTCTTTGGTCTGAGGCATCCACCACAACACCTCCTTCCTTCAAGCTAGTTGAAGTGTGTGTGTGTGTGTGTGTGTGTATGTGTGTGTGTACATGAACACACTAGCATGAACACATGGAGGCCAGAAGACAACCTTGGATATTATGCTTCAGGCATATCTGCCTTTTGGTTTTTTGAGACTAGGCTCTCACTTACCTGGAAACTTGTCAGTTAGGCCAGACTGGCTGTGTAGTGAGCCCCAGGGATGCACTCCTTCCCACTTTCTCAGCTCTGATGGTACAAGCTTCTGTTTGTTGTTTGTTTGTTTGTTTGTTTTAAGTCTTGTGTTTTGGTGAGGGAGTTTAGGTTTACTTATTCCTATTCTATATGTTAGAGTGTTTTGCTTAAATGTGTATGTATGCACTGTATGCATATGCCTGACCCACAGAGTCTGGAAGAGGGCAGTGATTCCCTGGAACTGGAGCTACAGATAGTTATGGGCTGCCATGTAGGTACTCTTAATCACTGAGCCATCTTTCTTGGTCATTCCGGCTTTAAAAAAAAAAAAAAACAAAAAAACTCATGGGTTCTTAGGACTGAACTCGGGTCCTCATGTATATAAACCAAGCTCTGTACTTACCAACTATGTACATTCTGAGTGTGTTCTTCCCACTGCTAAAGGCATATGCTTCTTTTCTGAAAATACAAAGCAGTGATTTTCCTCTTGTGCTCATAGTATTCCAAAGGAGTCACTGGAAGAAAAAATTATATATTATTTTCTTTTCTGGATAGTTTTTAAATTTGTAGATACAAGCACTATTAGCACTACTGTAGGATTTTATCAGACCCATATGGGTATTGGTGTTTCAGAGCTGAATAAGACACACATCCAAACCACAGAGGAGGAAAAGGTGAGCAAACCTCTGCATCAAATTTTCTGGGATGTAAGAAGTCTGGGAGGCAGTGTCTAGGGACAGTGAGTGATGATGACAAAGGGGTGGAGCTTTAGAATGGAGGTCAAGCCTGCTGAGTAGACAGGTGGAAGGCATTCCAGTGGTGCACACCTAGCATTTGTAGGAGCAGTGAGCAGTCAGTAGTTCAATGGGTTCACATTCAAACACCCAGTGTTGATAATGGTTTCGGAGCAGATGGAAAAGTCAAAGAACACCTACATGTTCTACAGTAGACCCATGATCGGCATGACTAAAGTAGAGATTGGTGTTTCAGGAACTCATTTTATCGTTCCATGATTATCTACATGTGCTCATTTTTTCTTAATCTAGGAAGTCCATGAAGATTCGGGGCAGACTACCCTAAGCACTACACACCCTGAAGGGCCAGGAGCTGCTTCCTCAGCTCCTGAGCCAGCAGCAACCAACGACCAGACTGAGAAAGCTGTTCCCAGCAAGAGCCTGCTTGACTGGCTGCGGCAACAAGCTGACTACTCCTTGGATGTCCCTGGCTTTGGGGCAGTAAGTGTTGGCTCCTATTACCCCAGACCAGTTAGCTCACTGAAAACTTAGGGAAATTTCTGCTGAGGGAAACTAGAAGGTGGGAACTATTTGGAAGAAATCTGTGTTGAGAACTTTTTCTTTTTTTCCCTTGGCTGTCCTGAAACTCATTCTGGCCTCAAACTCAGAGATCTGACTACCTCTGCATCCTGAGTGCTGGAATTAAAGGTGTGCACTACCACCACCTAACAAGAACATCATTTTAAAGATTATCTTTTTGTTTTAGTTTTTAATGTTTAAATTCTCCAGTAACAGAAATTGCTAGAGCATACCAATAAGTTTACATGCAAAAGTTACAAGAACAGAATTTGACTTAAGTTCACCCCCTCATATCTCCCCAGAAGTGACCACATAACATCTTAAGTTCACAGATGAATCTTTAGGTAATATAAACTCTATCACTTGATGAAATTTTTCCAAGTTAATTTATTCTTGCTTCTGCAGAAGGTTCTTTTCTCTGTTGCTCTGGTGGATTTCATTGAAGTCACCTAGATGCCTTTTCCTCTTCTTTGTTTCCTCCCAGTCAGGAACCTGCAGGAGGGCTCCTAAGCACTGGTGTTCATTCTTGGTTCGTGCCAACCCCATCTGTTCCTTAAGATAAATCCACAGAGACAGGAGCACATATCCTAGATGCGCACACACATGACTCCAGAACCAGCTAGTGAGGTAACAGTGAAGAGAGACCCAGAAGGGTGGGCACTGCTGCAGTGGTGCCCCCAGGGAGCTGCTGAGTCAGCTCCAGCCCTAGTCAAGGCCTGGCTGCAGCTTGTTTCCCAGCCTGCTGTCTGAGTTCTAATACCTCGAGGAGAGCAGTTAGGCTTGGTGTAGAGTTCTGCCACCCATATCAGACTGTGGCAGAATGTTTTGCAACATTTTCTCCATTTGCCTCCTAGAGTTTTTCAGACAAACCCAAGCAGAGGAGACCACGCTGCAAAGAACCTGGAAAATTAGACATCCCCTCTCTGAGTGGAGAAGAAAGAGTTCCTGCTGTCCCCAAGGAGCCAGGACTGAGGGTAGGAAGAGGGCACTGAGTGTGGGAGCAAGGGAACCATCTTAATGTGCCATACCGTGCACACTTGAAAGCCCTGCTGAGCAGTGGTAGCGGGATGGTGTGTTTCCAGGGACAGGAGGCCAGCACAGAAAGCTCTAACTGCTGTAAGTGCCCAGACCTTGTCGAGGATCTGTGTCTCCTGAGCTTTCCCATCTCCACCTCCTGAACAGTTTGTTAAACCATTCCAAAATCTTTTTTTTTACTATTTGTAGAGATTACAAGGGATAAAAATCCTTAGCCCAGGATGTCACTCTGTTGTTTCAAATTTAATAGATGCCATGATGGAAACAGGCATGTCTTACCTAAGTTTTTAATGACCATTTAAGTAAGACATTTCTTCCTAGTGCTTCTGCACGGGCAATGAAAAACAGCTGACTCTGAGCACTACCCTCTTCCTAATATAGAATCATAAGACTGGAACCAGCTTCAAAGACATCCTCAGAATACTTGGAGTCTAACGAATCTGAGTTAATTATAGCTTACAGATGGATACAAGTTTGAGACAGAAAAGTCCTAACCTCTAGGGGGCGGTAGTGACTTTTCCCTTAGGAAACTTTGGGTCCACAGCATTTTGTCTCTCAGTGCATCCAGAGGTAGAGGCACTTGCTCTTCCCCAGCTTTCCCATAAATTTAAGCTCTCCTGGACTCTCCAGCTCTTTAGCCAAGCCACAGCGTTCCCTGCATCAGCTGCCTTGGTGGAATTGCGGGAGAGTGATTTTTTTACTGAACTGCAAACACTGCCCACCCTAGTCAGGTCCTCTGCAGAAAGGAGCTGCCACTGGCTTTGCCACAGCGCAGCCAGGCCTGGTCAGTCAGGTCTGTCCTCCATTCCTACCCTGTTCTTGCTTTGTTCTCAGCAAGGCTGTTATTCTTGGACCTTGTGTTACCCACAGACCCGCTTCTGTTTCTGTCCTATCGTACCCTTGCCCAGTCTTGTCCTGTGCCTCAGCACATAGTGTTTATGGAAGGCCAAGGGAAGACCTCCAGTTCCTACATGCCCAGAAGTTTCCCTCACAGTCCTGGAAAGTACTGTTCACTGCTACTTCACAAGTGTTGACCCTCTTGCCAGCAAACCCCTTTCCAATCTTGCAAGCCAACCTCCTCTCTATGGTGCATCACCTTCCTTTATGGAAAACAAACACATTTGCTGCCTCTGAGGTCCCTTTTCTACACTGAGGCAAGAGCAGGAAGTTTTTGTCTGCCTGGCGCTCGGGACTGCTCAGCCTTCCTAAAACATAGGTGGGCAGTAGCTCTGCAGCTTTCAAAGCAGGCTGCCTCTTCTCTCCCAAAGGGTCCCTTACACCATTCAGTGGGTGTAGCAAAAGCTATAAACAACAGAAACTTGTTTCCTATTGTTTTCAAGGCTGAGAAATTAAAAGTCAAGTATCTAGTGAGGGCCCAATATTCATAAACATTTTGCTTCACCCTCACAAATAAGGACAAATAAGCTCTCCTGGGATCTCTTAGGAGGGCACTAATCCCATCCATAAGGAGCTGGCCCCATGATCTCATCACTGTAAAGCCCTCACTGCCACCCAGCTTTGGGGTGGGATGTGAACATTCAAAGCCCAAGGCAGAAACCCTCCTCCTTCTAAAGATAGATTAAAAGCTGGTAAGGAACTTAGTGTGAGCTCAGCGTCCTGCTATCTGTGCTACAGTCTGGGTGACGTTCATGCAGCACCAAGGGCAGCGAGACTTGACTTTGTAATGCCCGGGGTGCAGTGGTTGCTTATCAGCTGCACCTCTACACATTTAGCATATAGGGAGGTCTTCATCTGTTTGTTACAGATACACTATAACTACCTACCTTGTTATCACCACTGTCACACGTGTGAAGATTGATAGACTTTGCTGCCAGAGTCACTCTCAGATTTTACCAGTGATTCCAGAAATGTCCTTTAGATCTGGCATTGTTTGGCTTGGCTTGGCTTTGGAGATTTTTAACCATTTAGTTCCCGGGTCTGTTTTTACCCAGTGTTTTCTGGATATGCCTTTGTAAGAGTGATGAGAATGATTCGGTCCCCATCCTTTCGTTGCTTCTGCCCAAGAGTTTAAGGACAGACACCATCCCCTGTTGATGAGGCTGTTCTCTGGTCATCTGCGAAGCAGCTTCGCCTCACCTCCACTCTTCTTGCTCTCCCTGTACTCTGTCCAGGCCTCTTCTAGAAGAGGAAGCAGGTTTGCTCCCCAGGGTATAGTTACCAGGATGGAGAACTGCCAAAGCCCGATTTAACTGCTGTGTGTGGTCGCAGTGCTGCGGGGAGGGGCACCTGTCTGTGGTGGGCAGCATCTGGGTGGCTGAAGTAGCTCTCTTGCACAGGAAGTGGTGTGGGTTGACTTCCTTTATCCATGTGTCCCACAGTGTACATGAATCATTCTCTTCCCCCGGGCTCATTTGCTCTCCATACCTGAGGAGAAAAGAAAGCAGCCTCCACCTTCCCTTCATGCTCTGGTTTCTCTGAGGCCCCTGTGCTCCTGCTAAATCTGTGGCTCTCAACAAGGGCAAAGAGAGGATGGTTTTAGACCTCCTAGAGCCTGAGGAGCCCTTTGCACCTAGTGGGCAGGACCAGGGAGGCCAGAGTCATAAATGAGTTACCCTGGGAAGGAACTTAGTTTAAATCAGTGCTTCTCAACCTGTGGGTCACAACCCTTTCACAGGGGTTAAATACAGGATATTTGCATTATGGGAGAAGAGGGGCAGTGAAAGCAATGGCCCATGCCAGAGCTGTGAGTAAAGTTCCTATACCAGCCTCAGGAAGTGGTAAGTAGATTCCTTACCTGCTCAAATGCCCATGGGTCTGAGTAAGGCTCTAGGCCCTAATAATAGGATTCCTCTGGCCCTGTGTATCTGTTGTAAGACTTGCGCCTCCTTTTTCCTCTTTTCTGTTCTCCTGAGGAGTGTAGCCAGAACACTGTCCCTGGTTCTCAGGCAGCTGTGGAGCCCCTCCCTTCAGGTTCTCAGGAAGAGGCACCGGATCAGCTCAGAGATGCTAGGCTCCTCTGCACAGGTGCACGTAGTTCCGCTACACTGCCTTGACGTTGTATCCACAGGGCACACCCAGTTTCACAAGACCCGTCACTGGTGCTCTGACCATTCTGTTTTCAACCTTGCCAGAATTAAAGGAAGGTTGTAACATGAATAGTAGGAGGAAATACAGGGTAGTGGGGTCTCGTGTGTGTGTGTGTGTGTGTGTGTGTGTGTGTGTGTGTGTGTGTGTGTGCACGCGCACGCGTGTACCAACATGAAGGGTTTTTTTTTTTTTAATCACCCTTTGTATGAGAAAAGACTGAGACTGCTCAACAGCACAAGGGTGTTTTAATCCTGTGGCTCTATATTATGTGATAAACTAACAGAGCAGAGACACACAACAGTGCAGGACAGCAGAGAAAGGTGTGTGCAGTTGTCCACGGCCCAGGGATTGCAGGCAGCAAATGGAAAGAGAGATCACTTCTTCCTATGGAGGAAACAGATTTCTCTCCTATCAAGGATTCACGATGCCTGCAAAACAAGTTCAGAGGTGGAGCCATTATAATTCCAGTATCTCTCCAGCCAGACTGTGGGCCCCAAGAAGCAGGTTTCTGCTGCAGCCTCTACTTTCCCTACCACTGTGTACTCTCTTGCTTATTGCCACCATCAAGGCCATGTGCTCTTCTGTGGCTTTGTGCTGCGTTCTTGCCTGATGAGGCGTGGTGGGGGTGGTCCATGTGTAGGGACAAGTGACAAGTGCTGACTGCGGAGCTCTGTACTGATTAAAAAACTGGAGAGCCTTTAATCGCAGCACTCAGGAAGTAGAACCAAGTGGATCTCTGTGAGTGTAAGGCCAACCTGGCCTACATAGGAAGTTCCAGAACAGCCAGGGTTATAGAGAAAGACCCTATCTCCAAAATAAAAATAAATAAATAAAAATAAAAAAGTTCTTTGGCACAAACTCCAGAAAGAGGAAAATATATGCTCTTCCTTAAGGGAAGCCAGAGCCTTAGTTATTTGACTGACGTATGCCCAGCAGTGCTCCAGGTCCTTCATTTCTACAGCCTGTGTGTATACATCCCTTTTCATCCCAAGTCACTACTTGCAGGGACTCGGGAAAGATTGGGACATGTGCAACATTAGCATCCATGTCCCTCAAAAGTGGTCCTTCCTACGGGCCTGGGGGTGCATGTTAAACACTTACTTTTGGAGACTTTTAAGTGTCACTGTCTTTTTGTTTTGAACCAATGCTGACCCATCCTGAGTCTCAGCTTCAGCTGTAGTGTTGCCCAGTCAACCTTTAAAATTAACTGCATCTGACTCCAACCCCTCCCCCAGCACACTCTGCTTTGCTGCTTCAGTGTGACCTTGTGTTGTGAGAAGATGGCTGCTGTGCTCCAGTGAAGAGTTCATGGCTGAGAGTCAAGCTGGGGCATCATCAGTGCTGGTCTCCAGGCCCCAGCTCTGCCAGTTTCTCACACAGTAGAAACTGCTCTTGCCAGTTGGTGTTGAAAGAACTGTCTGATGGGCACCAGCATCTGGTTGCTTCCTTGCCACTAAATCCTCTCAGCCTCTAAGAGTCAAAGCCTTCTGGGCCTGTGGACAGGAGATACCCTTCCAACAGAGCCCTGTGTGGAACTGGGAATGAGCTGTGCCAGTACACAGCTGCAGCCACCACCTGCCATTTGCTAACTTTCAGCATCCAATGTTTCTTTGTCCTTTTTCAGGGGTTTCTCCCAGAAAGCAAATTCAATCACACCCTAGCTGAGCCTGTGCTTCGAGATGCAGGCCCCCGCAGGAGGGGGAGGCGGCCTCGGACTGAACTCCTAAAAGCTCCAGCCATTGTGGCAGATTCTCCCTCTGGAATGGGACCACTGTTCATGAATGGGCTGATTGCAGGGATGGACCTGGTAGGAATGCAGAATGTGAGAAATATTCCAGGCATTCCTCTCACTGGGCTGGTGGGCTTCCCAGCTGGTTTTGCTACCATGCCTACTGGTGAAGAGGTTAAAAGCACCCTGAGCATGCTACCCATGATGCTGCCAGGCATGGCTGCAGTGCCCCAGATGTTTGGTGTTGGTGGACTTCTCAACACACCCATGGCAACCACCTGTACGACCACTGCATCGGCGTCTCTCTCAAGCACAACAAAAAGTGGTACCTCCGCCACTGAAAAAACTACAGAGGACAAACTAAGTGGCCGTGAAGTAAAAGCAGACACTCTGGTTGAAGATAAGTCTGGCCCAGGTCCGTTTTCTGATCAGTCTGAACCCACAATAACTACTAGTAGTCCTGTGGCTTTCAACCCATTTCTCATCCCAGGAGTGTCTCCTGGGCTCATCTACCCATCCATGTTTCTTTCCCCTGGCATGGGCATGGCTCTGCCAGCCATGCAGCAGGGCAGACACTCAGAGATGGTCAGCCCTGAGAGCCAGAAGAGGAAAAAGAAGAAAACAAAGGGGGATAACGCCAACCCAGAGCCTGCATCCGGGTGTGAGAGGGAGCCAGACAGTGATCAGAACTGCACCGAGTTGAGTACCACTTTGCCTCCAGAAAGAGAACACGTGGCACAGGCAGGGGAAGGGGGGCTCAAAGACTCCAGTGATGATACCAATTAGAACTTTTTCGTTTAAGAAATGATTGTGACTTGTAAGTTTCTTATCCCATAAAGGTTTGTTACTTCCCTCACTTCACCTTCATGAGAACCTGTGTCTCCATCAGTAATATTGCCTACCTAATTTCCTGTCTGAGAACTATGGTAACATGTTAATAGTTGCAGGGTCTTGCCATTTTCATTAGATGAATGTCATCTACCTAGTGTAGGGGGCACAGAATTCTTTCTTTTATCCAGTTCATTCCAGCAATCATAGTTGATACTGTACTTGGTGACATACCTATTCCCCCTTCTCTTTCAAGTCCCCCTTATCTGAGGAAGAAAATGGCAGAAGAAAGCTGCCTAAGGATTCACCGGGGCCAAAGAGCAGAGACGAGCAAGTGCAGCTCTTTTTCTCTGAGCAGTTTAATAGGAAGATCATAACAAGGGAACTAAAGGCACAGAGTAGGAAGTGCTGGTACATGCTTTCCTAGTTCAAGAGTCTCTGTTACCACGGTTACTGAATAGTCTGCAGTGTATGAACTGAGATTGAAAATGCACGTACTGATGGCTTCTTTAAACCAGGAACCTTCCTGATAGTGGTACAGTTTCCCCCTCGTAGTTGTTCAGACACCTGCAGCAAGAGGAAATACCGGCCAGCTAGGCAGTCTGCATATCATGCCCACTAAATGAGAGAAGCTTCAGCACCTTGCGTTGCTGCAGCAAGTGGGAGAGCACTGCTCCCCTGGTCCACTAGCACTGCTGGCACCTTATCCCCCCCCCCCCCCCCCCACCCTTCACCCCGGCAAGTCGATCTTCCATCTCCTCTCCAGCCCGCTCTCTCTTTCCCTCTCTTTCTCCTCTCTCTTCCTTTCTTTCTCTCCCCCTCTGTCTTCCCCTTCTTCTCCCACTCCCCTCTCCCCCCCCCCCCCCCCCCCGGGACTCTAGCCACTCATTCCTCTCCGTGTTAAGAAACCTGCTGGATTTTATTTTGTGTTCTTTCCCCCAGAGCCAGGCTTTATGGAGCCTGTGGGAGGTAATCGCTCAGTACTTGCTAGACTCTGTCATCAGTGTAGTGTGGCTGAACACACACACCATCTTTGACATTACAACTGTGAAAATTTTTTCCCGCTCCCTTATCTCCCTACTCTGTCTGTATCTTGGATTTGGGCCCAGATTCCAAATTGCCAGTCAGGCAAGGTTCTGTGAAGTCAGCAGCGTACTCTCTCCTGCTTCTCCATGTTGAACTGAGCAGGGAAGAGCCCAGCCAGCGGCGCTTCAGCTTCCCATTTTCTTCCCCCTTCCCCCTCACATCGTGTCCCTCCTGAGGGTCTCTTTCATGGACAGTTCATGCTTGAGACTTGAACCAACCACGCCCAGCTCAGCTCTCTGAGGCACAGGGCTCAGGGGTGGACAGGTGGCAGTGTTCCACCTACCAGGCTCACTTCGTCGTCACAACTGTTTCTGTTCTTACTCTTCCTGTTACAGTCTTGCTAATTTATCAGAAGGTCTGAAAGTTTGGCATGCTATTTCAGTTTGCATTATTTATTTATGATGATTTTGTCATTGTCTTTTATACATTTGGGTTTATAAATTATGTAAATGTTAAAATGAGCATCTCAAAGAAGTCTGTTAAATTGTGACCGAAAAAAACCAATCAGGTGTATTTTCAAAAAGGAGAGTCCCGGTTTTATGAATCATAGATATAAACTAGAAATTCTATAACTGATCTATAAGAAGGAAGAATCCAAGAACTGAATAAATGCTATTTAATGATGTGTTCGTAGTGTAGAAGGTCTGTGATATTGACAACAGATTTCTTAGAAATGCTGCTCGCTGTTGAACTAACATTCTGTTCCGTTTGCCTCCAGTGGAAGCAGAAAGGGGTTTCAGCTGTTAAATCCTAAAAAAAAAAAAATCAATATAATTTATTTATGTAAAAGAAACACTCAATCAATATATTTTTGAACCTTTTAAGTACTAATTTTCTTTTTATCAAGTAGAAAAAATGTATTTGCCCTAAATCCTTAAAATACAAATGCTATAAAAACTCCTGTATCTTGAAAGCCTTACTGCGAATGAGCATTATAGCCGCCAGCAGAGTCTGCTCTTCCTGTTGTCTCATGTTGTTCATGTGGAAAGCTACTCCCCCAGTTCCCACTCAAACCTCCGAGTAGGTCACGGGTTCAGTGTGGACCCGGCAACCACCAGCATGCACAATCCCTTGTTCTATCTACCAAACCTGTATGTTAACTCGCGGGTGTTTAGGCTTCTGTTGACTGCTGTTGTGACATTGTTTGCAAAATGAAATTGACACTGTGGATTATTTGCTCTGTAAGGCACAAGTGCTTCTTATGATTATTTTGACGTTTCCGAGAGCAAAAGCCAAATTTAAACTCTCGTCAGCAAACTTGAGCCTCTTCATCTAATTCCACGTCACTCACAGTCATAACGTCCTCTGGTCCTTCTTTACCCGTGTCTCACATAATAAACTGTCTGTGGTCTGCATCCTGGATTTAAAATGGAAAGTTCAAAATTCAGATTTGTATTGAAGACTTCACTAGCACTTGGATGCCTGGCTCTCTGGCCATCTTATGGGTGTATCATGTGTGTACCAGGAATCTACAGTCCTTCCAGGTGCCCAGCTCCTTCCCTACCACCAGAACACAGATTAAATTGTGCCACGGAAAGGAGTTAGCCACACCACCTCCTTCAGACCCTGTGCAAAGGCTCTCCCTCAAGGCACTTCTTTAAAAACACACAGAAAGTCTCACCTCAAACCTGGAATTTCTGAGGGAGCTAGAATGCTGTGGGGAGTGTGTCCCGTAAGGAACACCTGGTCTCTGTCTAAGAACTTTCTTTTCTGGGCTGTAGGGAAGTGCTTGCCTCCAGAAGGTTATCAATGAGGCCTCAGTGGGGACTGGACATAAGCCCAGCCTCACTGGTGGGCGGAGTCACCAGTCCTAGGCTTCAGCAGTGGATGGATGAGGTCCCAGGGCCCTGCAACTGGTTTTCAAGTGAAAAATTCTGACCACAGACTTAAGATCTCTAATGGAGGACCAGCATTTAGCTGGACATTAGCTCAGTGGATAAAGGGGTTGGCTGGCAAGCATGCCCACCTAAATTTGACCTTCTGAAGCCATCTAGTGGAAGGAACAAACCTACTCCTGAAAGTAGCCCTCACCTGTACACATGCGCGCGCACACACACACAGAGAGAGAGAGAGAGAGAGAGAGAGAGAGAGAGAGAGAGAGAGAGAGAGAGAGAGAGAGAGAGAGAGAAAGTAAATGATTGGTCTTTGGTCTTTTGAATCTCTAAGGGAGACTTAAGGGGCTCACCTGGATAGAGAAGAACTAACTCACTAGTAGCATCTTGGTTTTTCAGGGCCTCCGCTCCTGTCCCAGGCAGCCCCCTACCCAAGGGTTAGTCAAGTACACGTCACTAGTATTATGTATTTCTCATGGGCAACCTCATTTGTCCTTGCAAAGTTGTGAGTGTTGGTTAGGAGGGGACTACATCTAACCTGCCTAATGAAAGCCAGCTGCCAGGCTATCCTAGAAGAGGCTGAAGCTAGAGCTCATGGTCCCACTGGCAGAAGACAACGCCCCAGGCCTGGCTTCTGTGATACCAGCCTGGGACCTCTCAACCTGGAAACCAGAACTCTGAAGAACTCAGCTGAGAACTTGGCACTGGGGAAAAGGGCAGACACAAAACCACACTCACTGAAGAGCTTTGTGCCTGGGTCCTTTATGTCTTACCTTGTGACTTTGTTCATTTGCTTGGTCTGGAAACCTCAAAAAAATTTCCTTGAGTCAGGATTAAGGTTCACCAAATCCAAGGACTTGGTTTTAGTTTGGTTGTGTTTTCAGCTTCTCCAAACCCATTCCTCTGAAGTACAGGGGCTGAATAGCGGGAGCCCAGGACATGCTACTCACGGCTGCTTTAATGGTCCCCATACAAAGTATCTGTGGGATAAAATGGGAAGCAGGTGAAGTAGGCCCTGGCTGGCACGAGGACAGCATAGGACTGGACACTGAGCATGGCAGTAACCAATCGGTTTTACCCAAACAGCCTAAGCAGAAGTGGGATGAGAAGGGGGGAGTGGAGTCCCTGGGAGACAGACATCTTGGTTCCCAGGGGACAAAAGAACTGCGCTCCTACTGTCTCTGAGGGGTGAGGATCCTTATCTGTGGTCATTTGTAGCCTGAAGGGTCTGCAGTAGGATTGGCAGAAAGTCAATTTACACGCTTCAGTAGCCAGTTGTGAGCAATGGAGTACTTACTGCAGGTCCTAGGACAGGTGGACCGCAGATTGGATTCAAAACACTGTGGGAAACACGCTTTCTGGCCCAGCCTCGGGGCAACCACACGAGAAAGGTTGCTTTCCGCATCACCTGTGTTGTGGGTGGGTGAGGAGACATTTGTAGAGCCTGGAAGAGGGAAGTGGGTGACGCAATACACACTACCAGGACAATTCAGAATGCGGACTGGCCCTGTCTGTTCTCCACAGTAACTCCGGCATTATCTCTATATCTGTAAGACACCACAGATCCAGAGAGGGTAAACGGCTTGTCCAGTCAGCCAGCTGGTCAGTGACAGAGCTGGACTTTGAGAATCCAGATTGATTCTAAAGCCCTGAATTGACTGTGGGGAGTTGTGGGAGGCAGGCTTGCCCTGAGCTTCATAAAGTAGCATTAAATGCAGATGGCTGAGGGAGGGGGGCTGTGCTGGCTCATGCCCCCTTTGCTACCAGTATCAGCCTGGAGGCCAGTAGGGAGACAGTTAATTTGAGCAAGTATTTCTTAGCCCAGTGTGCTGGTGGAGGCCTCTGGGCTGGGGTATAATCTGGAGATATCTTGGTATCTCCATGTTTGGCCTCATCAGCCTAGGACCAAGGAGCCATATGAGATGTGGCTTCCTGTCTGAACGGGCGTGAGGCCTGCTCAGCTAGAAGGACGACCTGAGGCGGAAGCACCTACAAGAGGAATCTATAGTGCCCTCCCACAGGCAGCTGGGCTTCGTGCAGCTGAGGATCACCACAGCGCCTATTGGTGCCTCTGGGTCACTGTGTCAGGCTTGAGAGACATGAATCTACCACAGCATATGCTGCGCAGATGAGAGCCCAGCTCACGTAGATGACCACCTACCTTCAGTGGCACCACTGGGAGAAAGGAAGGATGTGGGACAGTCTAAACGTAGTGCCCTTACTCTGGCTGCCAGCGTGAAGCCACGGGCCCCACATACCTTTCTAGAATGGAGCCAACCAGCTATAGCCACAGGCTAAGGACGGACTTCGGATGCATAAACTATGTAAAAACCAAAGGGATAGTTCATGGATGTGGAGATTATAACGCATTTAAGCTTTAATTACCATAAATAAAGTTTGTTAGTACTCAACCACACTCATTCCAGGTTATCCATGCTGCTTTTGTGCTGGCCTGGCTGTTGCCATGGGAGCCTGTGGCTGTAAAAGCCTAGGATGTTTATTTCCTGGCCCTTGACCAAGAATGCCTGCTGACCCCCGGCCCACATCAATTTAATTCATAGAGTCTGTGTTAAGTCAGTTAAAATATACTAGTGAACTCAAGCATGGTCCTCTAGGAGTGTGGATCCTGCAATAGAATGGACAATAAAAACAGACTTCAAAGCAGCCCAGACTCTAGGCAGCCTCCTGATCATCCTGCATTCACTTTGGAGGAAATTTTAATCTACCCTACCCTGCCCTGCCCTTTACACACTTTTTCCTGTCTTTTGGGGAAGGGGCAGAAGAGGGCAAATTTGTTAAAGAGAAGACCCGGA